CACAGCAGTTACTTGGCAGGTAAAACCTTCTTTGACATCTGTAATATTAATACTTGGGAATTTAATCAGAACAAGGGAAAGTTACTTTTTGTACCACCGTTCCTGGAACCGCCTTGCTCAGCCTGCATGACCAGTTTGTTTCACAATGGCATAATGGCTAAACAAATAACCATAATTTCCCACTGGCAGAACATGCAAGTGGCAAACTACTAGTTACTAGTTCATTCCTTTCCCTATATTTTAGAATTCCTTTCCCCAGTAATTACATTACAGTTGTACCTTAACAATCCTATGCCCCAATTCCTTTCTGGTGTAACTATTTATTTCTTGTATAGTTAACAGAGGTGTGGCCTCATGAAATGCTAGAAAATGAACCCTCCCCTTAGTAGTTCAAATGCTGGATTGTCCTGTGCTTCATGCTGCTGAACAGAAAATATTGATTTATTTTTAAAGGAGCTTACAGCAATTGTTTTAGTTCTGTTCATGAAATGAGAACATATCACTTTTTCAAAATGAGAACTATAACAGAAACTAACTAAAGGGGGCTTTGATATAATAACTGTAAAAGGTAAATTTCCATATAATATTGTTGCTCACCAAAATAAATAACTGTAACATAATTCAACATTCACAGTAGCTAAATCTCCTCCTAGCATGACAATTGGAGTTAAATTCTAGTTTAATGGATATCTCCCCTTAAGCAGACACTGAAAGGCAGACTTTACGTTTGCGAGATATTTTGTTTTTTTATACTAGAATCCAAGGATCCACTGTCTTGACCCAGCTGCAAAAGCCTTAAACAACAAATCAAATAAGTTTGATGCCAAGAATTTGTTCTGGGGGCAGAAATAAATTGAGCTTCTGTGGCAGGCATGGCTGCCTTTTCCTGGTATTTATGCAAGGTGACATTCATAAAACTTTCTGTTAGGGGAAGCCCTGCTGCTTTCAACTGAGTGATCTGTGACATGAGCGCACACATGCCAGAGAGGTTGGAGGTTTTGGGAGCACTCCACCTGTGGGGCAATGATGCTCTGCATTTCCTAACAAGAGTCTGCCAGTTGAATTTTATCTATCTTTTTATTGTTAGCAATTGTGTGAGCCTGTTTTTTTTTTGTGTGTGTGTGTGTAAATCTGGGCTAATCAAAAGAGAAAGAAAGAAAGAAAGAAAGAAAGAAAGAAAGAAAGAAAGAAAGAAAGAAAGAAAGAAAGAAAGAAAGAAAGAAAGAAAGAAAGAAAGAAAGAAAGAAAGATTTCAGCAGTATTTAGAGCATATATGTGTGTGCATTCATATGTCTCTCTGTGGGCAGAGAAGCTAATTGGTTTTTGCCATTAATACATAATGGGAGTCAGCTTTGAAATCTGTTGGCAGTTTGTGATAGGCCCCCCTTTGAAATTTTGGGGTGATGTTGGATCACAAGCAACTCCTGTTTAAATGTTTCAGAGATCTAATGAAACTGGGGCTTCAAAAGCAAGAGAGAGAGAAAGCAATAACCTCCAGGATTTTTTTTATTCCTAAGGAAAGTTTTCATTGTCTTCTGCTCTGAGGACAGAGAAGTAACCCCCCCCCCCTTTTAGCATCTGACAGGAGATAAGATAAAAGTCAATAAAAAGAGAATAATTTATTAAAAAGATCTAATGTTACAAGAACAGTACACAGGAACCAGTATTTGACTGTGTCTTTCACATAGTATATACCATTATATATAGTAAATATATACAACTGTATACAAGATATCTAACATTTTAGGATGGGGTTTTGTTTTGGTTTCTGAACCAAGATTCATTTTTCTGATCACTTTTAAATTTTCACAACATTATACAAAAATACCGTCTTTTCAATAAGTTGGACTGCTCTGTTACAATCTCATCCAAAGAAAATGAAAATAATCAAAACTTTTTTCTGAACCCCTTCCAACCCCCCCCCCCAAAAACAGCAGCAATGAGGAAAACAATCAGCATCATGAGATGGACAGGGTTGTCTTCTACCAAGGAAGATACATGAGAATATGGAAGTACTTAAAACGTTCATAAATGTTTATTCATAGCAGAAAATGCCAGATCAAACATCCTGCAAAGGCTGGTTAGAAAAAAAGGGGGATAACTTTCCATCTCAACTTGGCGGAACGCTTACTCCCACCTAGTTCTATCCGAGTCAGGAGGTGAGGCTGAGGAGCCTGACGCCGAGGGAGGCCCGGAAGGAAAAAACAAGAAACCGGGCCTTCTTGGCGGTGGGTCCTCGCCTCTGGAACTAT